AACCGTGATGTAGCTCAGGGACAAGGGACATTAATACAATAACCTACAACCCAGAAATTTGCCTCTTGCCCATTTATCTCAACAACTTTTGCAGCTTAAAAAGGACACATTACAAGATGTCCTGTCTCTCTACAAACTGCCTGCCTCCTCTCTGCTCTTTCCCAACACTCAATCCCAAAGTCTGGCTGACATGTGCTATGTGTTCCCCAACTTCAGCCTGTCCCACTGTCCTCATGTGGGATACAGAAACACTGGCTCTTGTGATGAAGGTCGTTTCTTTCCTTACCAACCACTCCTGTGGTTCCATCTCCAATTTCATCATCTTGGGATTTGGACAGTTCAACCATGAGCTTGGCAATCTGATGATCAACATCCATCATGCTGAGAATGGTGGCACCGTCGTTTGTTACGGTGACATCGCCGTCCTTATCTACCATCATCTTGTCCAGCCCTGAAAGACAGAAGTTTAGAAGGAAGTTGGGGAAAATGATATGTAACCAAGGGCTAGAGAGAGCATCTCAAACAATTCTTACTGTGACATTCATTAGAAACAAACAGCCCGACACACAAAAGACATCCACCAAAGAAAGCCTTCCACCAGCTAATTCAAACTCTACACTGGAAACAGACTAAGTGTCTCAAACCAAAGAAATGCGACCAACCACCACATACAGAACACTACTGAATACAGCATTAACTCAGGACATAGGTGTGCTCTGGAACATGCTAATGCAGGGAAGAAAAGCCCATCTCAAGCCGTGAGCACACTAAACTGCGAGGAGCCCGGACATTCAGAGCTTCTTGGCTGAACGGAGCTGCAGGACTGCCCCACTGCATTTCTGAAGGTGCTACTACTGACTGTACTATGAAGTCAAACCTTTATTAATGATATCAATGATTCTCTCACCGTTTGGTCCCAGTGACGTTCTCAGTGTGTTTGCCACAGCTTTTGCAGCCATGATGTGAGACTAAATGAAACAGAAAAGGCAAATATAAGCAAGTTACAGGTCATTTCAACAATTAAAGGCATAGAGCTGATGTTTACAGAAAAAAAGACTTGATGTAATTTCTTAAAAAAAAAAATCTAGAAATTTCCACACTAACAGAGAGGTCTGACTTAAGCAGGAACTTTCACAACTATAAGCTTTAGAGTCAAGTGCTTTGTGTTTTACATTCTCAGCATGGGAGGAGGCAGGCTGTCTCCATTACTGACCTGGAGAACAGAAAGGCCAACTGTAAACATAATACCTTCTGTTTTCACCAAAGCTCACCATAGTAGAGAACACTGCATTAACCCCACAGGAGAGCCACCCTTGCTAACATTTTTAACAAATACTATTTTCAAAAGGAAAGTTCTGAATGATGGCTAAGAATTTAGTGCCAATGACGCTGTGGGGACAGGACCCGGAGACTGCTGTTTTAAACTGCTCTACAAGTCATCTTCCACCTGAAATCCTTGTACAGATGACAGACCAAACTTAACTGTGAGAGATACTAGTGTAAGGTTGGAAGGTCAGCTCACTGACAGAGTGGCTCAGATAGCTGTGGTCAAGAGCACTTGCTCTTGCAGAAGACCCAGGCTCCCAATGGCCTGTACTCCAGTTCCAGGTGATCAGATGCCCTCTTCTGGCCACCACAGGCACCAGAGTGCACACACATACATGAAAGTACTCACACATACATATAAACCTAAAATAAAAAATACACAGTACAGACATCTTGTTATTACATAAATCTGCCCCGTGCTTAATATAAAAACAGTGAAGTTACATATATAACAAACATTGTTTAAAAGCAGCGTTGTTTTATGATTTAGTCTCAGTAAGTTTGGTCTGTATACCTATTTTACATACATCTATACCCTGGGTTATGTAGAACTTCACAGGAAAAAGATGTAAAAGCCCTATCCATATAAGCATTATGGTCATGTGACCTTCACCCATGGCAAGCAGATGGTCATCTTGGGTGACCCTCAGTGCACCAGAAATTCTATATCAAGGGCCAACTACATGTCCCTAAACAGAAGAACCTGAATATTCAAAGGGGTTGCCCCAGAACACCCAATTCCTAATACTCATATTACCATCCTCATGGGCCCGAGATCTTGATCCCTACACTCTAGGAACGCGAGCCACAGCTCCACTGCAACATCTGGTCTGGTTGGTTTGTTTTCATTGATATTCTTGTAACTCAGGAGTTAATTATAACAATCTCCCCACACCAGAATTTATATCAATGTTATTAAAATATTCATGGTACAAGCCTGAAAGGACCCTTCCCTGTCCCCAGACACACCTGGCTCTCATTTCCTTCAATGTCATCTTCTTTTATTCTTGCCACCACCAATTCAGGTTAATGTCATCCTACAGAATTCCAAGACTGTATCCCCTCCTCTTCCCATTCACCAGTTAACATATTTTCTAACAAGCCCTTTGACAGTTCCAAAGGCAGACAAGGACTCTTGGCGACTGAGTACTAAAGCTGGAAAGCAAAGCACTCTGGAGCAGTCCTGGCTCTCTTAACTCACCTTCTCACCCCGGAGGGGCAGGTGGATGCACACTTACTTCTCTAACCACAGAAATCGTGGGTGTTTTCAGAGCTGTGCAAGCATACACATTCATTAACGTCTCTCCTCACTCCCAATGGCAGACTAGAAAACACCAAGTTCATTTTGTCTTTGCAAACTCTGGGGACTCTTAAAATGCACTTTGCAAGTATGTATTCCTAAGAGGCTTTTTCAATAACCATCACTGGTTAATATTTCTCTGGATGCTCAAGGATACTGGGCACCTGAGCTTATTTTTGGTTGACTACCTGGGTGTGTATTATTGAGCCGAGGTCAACACCGCACACAGAACAAGCCTCTACTACAAATAATCTGGCCCTGAATGCCAAGGCTAAGCTCACTGCTCTGCACCACTAGCTTTGACTTGGAGGTAGACTGACATCATGGCCCTTCTCTAGCACAGCAGCTGGGACATCTTTGGCGATTTCCCTGTCCCAAAGTGCCTAATTCTGTAAGCAGACCTGCCCTGAGTGAGGACCACAGCAACAGTCCACGTAGTTAGCACAAACGGCTGACACAACTGTCAACATTAATTACATTGGTAAAAATCCCTCCCACCCTGAGGTGGGGACAAAAAAAAAAAAGAAAAAAAAAAAAAAAAAGGAACTGAACACATAATACATTCAACCTGAAAAAAAAAATCCCCCTAGAAAGCAAACAGAACCAAGCATCTATAGTTGCTCTGGCCACTTCTTTGGCTACCCCAATACACCTGTCAAGTCCTTGGCTTGACAGGCACACGTGAAACCTAAGAAGGGGCTCCGTGGCAACACCTGTCAGTGACAATTGATTTTTTAAAAAATATTTATTTATTATGTATACAATATTCTGTCTACATGCCTGAAGAGGGCACCAGACCTTATCACAGATGGTTGTGAGCCACCATGTGGTTGCTGGGAATTGAACTCAGAACCTCTGGAAGAGCAGGCAATGCTCTTAACCACTGAGCCAACCGTTTTTTTTTTTAAGGGTTTAATTAACTTTATTTTATGTGCATTGGTGTGAAGGTGTCAGATCCCCTGCAACTGGATCTTTGTTGTGAGCTGCCATCGGGGTGCTGGGAATTGAACCCGGGTCCTCTGGAAGAGCAGTGAGTGCTCTTAACCACTGAACCATCTCTCCAGCCCCGTGATATTGTTTCTTATCTGGGACCTGGCTTTTTATTCCTTTCTTTCTACAGGACATTCCTTTCTACTCAACATTTCGGCTCCACCTTTCCTCAGGGTAACGTCTTTGTTCCTCTATGTGGGGCTCTAGAGCTCAAACTTTGGGGAAATTATCATAATTTGCAGCCAACCGTGTGTGCTCCATTGAAGCTGTCTCCTTCCACTCCAAAATTATGTGTTTTCTGGCCCAAGAGAATTTACCATTACCTCTGAACGAACGCAAGGCTCTGGCCCAAACACGTTGTGTGTCGGGCAGTTTCTTCTCTCAAAAGTTGGAAAAGCTCCCTCCACTGTCATCCTCCAAGTAGCCATTCGGAAAGCACACGGCATGTCGCGCGCGTGCCCCTTTTCTACGCTTCTAAGTTTCTCCCTCTACGGGACGGAACCGTGTCTAAGGCACATGCCATCTAAAACCGCATCGCCAGTGACTCCACCTTCTGTCTGGGGGTCCGCGGGCCGGCTCCCCAGGTGAGCTGCTGCATGCGGCCCCACCCGGCTCGGAAGGGCCACCCCACCTTCGGGCTGAGGCCTCTACGACCTCTCCCGCCCAGAGGGTGGGTGTGCACACAGAACCCACAAAGGCTCCACGGAACCGGGGATTCTCGACCTTTCGGGCCAGCACATGGCTGAACCGCTCCCACGCCAGCGCAGGCGCAGAAGAGCGCTCCGGCCGCCTCCCTTCATCCCGCTGCCTGGCGTCGCGGGCCGTTACCTTGAGGGCCTCAAGCCCCATGAGACGGGACTTGCGGTCCTGATCCTTGATGATGAGGAAGGGGCGCCCATACTCATCGAAGGCGAGGGTCCCCACGGACGCCATGGTGGGCGAACTAGAAGAACAGGCACTTCCCAACAACCGGCAAGGGACCACTCCGGAATAGAAAAGGCACCCTCCTCTCGCGAGACGACGCAAAATCGCGCGCGCGTGCGCAGTACAGACCGCGCGCGATTTTTTTTTCAAGTGTGACTTTTTTAACACCACAGAGTGCTTTCTGGAACCCGTCGCTCTTGGAAACTTCTATTATACAGGAAGCTAGGGGGGTTATTCCAAAACTAGGAAGGCAACTTATAGAACCCAAATACTAATACTAGACCTAGTTCAGTCACTTATTCAAGGTTGTGATTTATGAGACTTTTTTGAAGACAGGCTCGCAGCGTGCAGCTAATTTCCTTAAGACATTTTCTCCGTTCTTCCCACCCCGGCTCTGGGAAGATGGTAGGTCCCACTTCCGCTCTCCCCGGAAGTTTCGCGATGGAGAGAGGAGGTGAGGTTTGGCCGGCATGGCGGCGGGTTCCTCGCTTGACTGCGGTGCAGACGGGCTTGGGGGTGGGTGCACGGCTGTCAGCCGGTGTGATCGCGGGCGCGCGTGGGTGCCGCGCTCTCCTCCTGCACCGTCCTCCACGCCCCTGCCGGTCTTCTCTTAGCTGGGTCGCGGCGACCGCAGTGCTTGCCGGGGACTGGTTTCCCGCTTCCATGCACACGAATTATGCCTCAGTCCGATCTTACGACTCAGGGCTGCTGGAATCAAAGCCCTGTTGTGGACTAGCTGCTGCTTGGGTGTTACCGAGCTTGCGGTTTTATTTTCTTGTCTTAAAAAAATGGCAGTAATAATATTGCCTACTTGACAGGGTTCCTGGAAGTGTTCAGGGAGAACAGTGCCTGGTCTCTTGCTGTATTTGTTCTTAACGCCCCACGTTGCACAGATCCTGTGACTTGCCCAGGGTACACTGCTAGAAGGAGACGATGTGGCACGGTCTTGGGCTCAGAGTCTCTTAACCCCAGCGTTTTGGTGCTAGAAAGATACCGTAACGCTAATTGTACTGTCCATCGGCCCGAAATGACTATCCGTTTTATAAACTTGAATTTATTACGGATTTCCACTCTCTTTAACCGTACTGTCCCTCCTGTATCATCAGGTTTTATTAGGCACTCAAAATTAGAATGCATGTAGCCGCACAGACCTGGAAGCCAGCCTGCTGTCATGTTAATCTTGCCTAATGCCTTAGCCCTCTGTCTTCCAGTCAGTGATGGTTCCGGTGTCTTTTGTATTTTATAGTAGTCTTATTTCCCTTCAATTTTGATGAGTTGGTGTTTAAAAAAATTCAAACGGTGGATTCTGCAAATCCATTTTGCTGTTGATTTTACCTTATTTTCTGTCGGAACGCTGTCGGGATGACTCCTAGTATCAGCAGGGTATGTAGAGCAAAGGACACAGATGACCTTAGGTCAGTACAAGAAAGATTTTTTTTAAGAAAAACATACAAAATGAGGTTTCATTATAACATTTTCATATCTAATTATGCCACTGCACCTTCCTTTAAGCACCCTTCACTGTCCCCTCTCCCAGTTTTCCCACTTGCTGATCCTCGTTCCCCAAATAGTTACTTATCACATATATAATACATCATTAAATCTAGGGTCCACATGCAGTATTTTGTCTTTCTTGTTGCCCTCTTATTTCCTTCCTCTTCCCCCATTCAAGATTTTACATCAGAGAGAAAACATTAGATATTTGCCTTTCTGAAACATTTTTATTTTACAACTGAATAAAACCCCATTGTGTGTATATATCCAACTCCAGCCATTCATCTGCTGGTGGACATCAAGGCTGGTTTCTCCAAAGGTTTCAAGGGTGTCTTTGCTGCCAAGCCCGACAGCCAGTTCTGGGTCTCCATCCCATGTGGTGAAGGAGAGCACGGATGACCACTTGTATTCAGAGACTTGCCTTCCTGTAGGTTCCTACTCTGCTTTTGCCCTCAGTTCAGATTTTCTATTTATATTTTCCCTCCCTTGTCCCTTTATTCAGTATAACATTTCTTGCATCCTTTGCTTGCCTCAATTAGTCCCAGCTACTTACCCAGGCCAGCTGGGAGACCCTGGAGACCAGGCCCTTGTTATTGTATATATTGCTGTTTTTATGAAAGGGTACATGAGGTGAGGTAGAATTTGGGCCACCTGATATGTCTTTAATTATTGCTCAAATTGATAAATAGTGTGGTCTGTCTATATGATAGAGTTGTGTTTAGCTTTAAGAAAAGGAATAGCGTGGATGACTCTTGAGCACATCATTTTAAATGCCAGGAGTTGATTAGAGACCACATACTACATGTATGTGTGGGTGCAGATGTTCTACATGTGTACCCACATAGGCCAAAGTTTGACTCAAGGTATTTCTGTTGTACTCCACTTCATTTTTTTTTTTTTTTTTGAGACAAGGTTGCCCACTGAACCTGGAATTCGCCTGTTTTGACTAGGCTGGCTGCCGAGCCAATCCTGGGTTCTGTCTCCACCTTCCAGTGCTGTGGTTGTGCCTGGCTTTTGTATGGGGGCTGGGAGTATGAACTTAGGTCTTCATGTTTGAACAACAAGCACTGTACCCACTGAGCCATCTCCCTGGCCTTTGCAAGATACTTAGATAAGTCCAAAGTAGAGGAGATAAAAAGTCCTGGCTGCTTAGGGCAGGTGGCAGAGTGTGGGTGGGGAGACGACAGCTAAAGGGCCATGGAAACGCTCTAAAACTGAAGAAGGTTACATACATCTATACTGGAACCTGTTAAATTGTGCACGTTCAATGGGCAAGCTATTAATTGTGTCGCAGTAGAGTCTAAAAAGCTGGGTTTCTAAGCGGAGTGTGGTGGTGGATGCCTGTAATCCTAGAAGTTGGCAGGCTGAGGCAAGAGGGTTCAAGACCAGCATGGCCTTCATAGCAAGACTGTCTCAAAAAGAGAAAACTGGATCCTCCACTCCTCCAAATGGTAGTCTTCAAGGATAGCAGTTAACAGTTGCTGCACAGTCTTTTGGTTTATACTTTGTACGTGTTCATTTAAACGTGGTAATCAGAGAAGGATAGTTGTATTATCAAACCCTTTCTTAAGTTTTGAGTTGTGCAGCAAAAAACCCGAAAAATTTCCTGGTTAGCAAGCCATACTATAGTAGCAGCTTATCAAATGTTAAACAGCTGGCTTAGGTTCTGAGACACCAGGACTGGTCTTACATGTGTTTACAGACTATGCTCTGTTCCATTGGGATGATCCTAGAGGTCAATGCATGAAAGCAAGGCATATGAGCCTTGACTTCTCTCAAATAAGCAAATGTGCAATGATTCTAGCATATTTTTCCACACAGTGTCAAAATTATAACTGCAATTGCTGAAGGTTTCTGTTATCAGACACCTAAAGGTTACTTTATATATCTTGATGGCAGCATCAGCAGCAGACCCCCCATCATTGCATCAGCAGCAGACTCCCCATCACAACATCAGCATCAGATTCGCACTCCCACCCCCATGATCACAACATCAGCAGTAGAATTACTTCCCTTCCTCATGATCACAGCATCAGTGACAGCCTTACTTCTCCTCACGTTGGCTCTCTACTACAAAAGCAGCTCGAAAACTCATTTGAAGGGGGTGTCAGAAGCAGAGTGTAATAGGAAGCTGGGTGTTGAGAGCTGTCCTGGATTGTGACCTGTTTCTGTGTGGCAGCTTTTATTGTGTCCTGTGTTTAGAGTTTTAACTCAGCAGAATAGATTGTTACCACTCTGCGGGTGTAGTGTGTAGAATATCAACCCCCTCCCCAAATATATGCATTCTGACTGGTGTAGCCTGTGCAAATGTGATTGAAGATCTTGGATCAGAAATTACCTTGCACTAACTAGGTGTGCACACTCTTGTCGCAAAGAGGGGCAGGAATGGGAGAAAGGAGTTATCAAGATGGAAGAAGGGGTTGGAGTGCTTTGGGGTTGAAATCAAAGCATGTAGATTTTGAAAGCTGGAAAATGCAAAGGAACTGATCTTAAAAGGCGTTAGGAGTACTACAGCCTGTAGCACAAATAATAAAATCCTGGAGTGAGCTATTGGGGTTCAACCCAAAAATTAGAAAAGCAAAGCAGCCAAGCCTCTAGAGAAGTGTTACCTCTACCAAGGCTTGGCGACCACATACTTAACAGACAGCCTCTCTTTCTCTTTTATATCTCCTCTAGTGCTGGGATTAAGGGAGTATAACTCCCTAGCACTGGAATTAAAGGTGTAGGCCACCACCACCTGGGTTTGTTTCTGCATTGATTTTTGTATAGCCCAGAGTGGCCTTGAACCCTAGGATTAAAGGTGTGTGTCACCATTGCCTATCTTCTAGTAGCTTTAGCTTTGCCTCTGGTCTTTAGGCAAGATTTGTTTATTAAAACAAATAATATGCCACTACCGCAGTCTTGTTTATTGGGGACCTCTGAGTGCCAGCCTCAGTGTCCCCTTCAGGGTTTAGAAGAAGACTTACAGCAAATACAGGATTTAGATTTGAGGGCGAAATGAATTCTTCACTTTGTACTTTTCTGCATCAGTTTCTTTATTCCCATTGTCTTGTTGGAGGCTGCTTGTTCCCGGCTGCTCAGCCCCAAAATAATCACACAGAAACCATATTATTTGCAATACTGTTTGGCCAGTAGCTTAAGCATATTTCTGACTAACTCATATCTTAAATTAACCCATCTCCATTAATCTGTGTATCGCCACAAGACTGTGGCTTACTGGGTAAAGTTCTGTCATCTGTCTCTGGCTGGGCCACATGGCTTTTCACTGACTCCGCCTTCTTTCTCCCAGCAGTCAGTTTAGTTTTCCCCAAGTATCTAAGTTCTGCCTTGTGCAGGCCTAAGACAGTTTCTTTGTTAACCGATGGTATTCACAGCATACAGAGGGGAATCCCACATCACCATTGGAATTCCCAGAGAATGGGGGTGGTGGTGGTCCAGTATACCAGTACATGGGAAAGAATTGTGCCCAATAATCCATACTCTGCTGAATCTTGTACAAGAGGAGTGCTTATGGCTTCACAAGAGGTCCACTGTCAGTATGCAAAAGAAGGTAGACCAGCACCTTGTGAACTGGGTTTCTCTCCAACAACACATTCGTTCTGGTGGGTCAGCTTCCTGTCTTATGAGCTGAGATCTCTCTGCACTTGGCAGCCCACTGCAGACGTCTGACCTCCGCTGGATGGTGAGAAATAAGGCTGTGGTCCCTTCTTACAGCAGCTTGAAGTAAACCCCGCAGGCCTTTTGAATGACTTTCTGATATCTGGGACCAGCCATATGTGAACAGCAAGCATCTGCTGTTCCTCTCTGACAGTTTCCTGCTTCCTGTGGATTCATGCATTGCCAGTCTTACCCACAGCAGCGATCTGTTTGCTGTGGGGTTCCACGATGTTCCAGTAATGTGTAAACAGTTGACACTGGGTGTCCCTGCTTCCTGTGTGCCTGCCTGAGCCTCAGGAGGGCCTTACCTGCACCTGCTCAGTCACTGCCCCAGCTGTTCTCAGGCCCACAGGTGCGGAGGTGGATCATCAGGAGGACTGAGGTCACGTGGCTACACTGCCACAGAGCTGGCACCTTGTCTGGCTTTTAGCTGTGCTTTGCTTGTCCTTAATCAACTTCCCCTCCCTTTAGTTTTGCATCCCACGAGGATGCAAGTGCCAACTCAGGATGAGGAATAGTACAGTGACATTCATTTCTCCGCAGCCAGATTAGAGCTTGTCGGCTTTCTTCTGTGCTGAGAGTATTGAAATGACCCCCCTGCCATGGGCTTTCAAATTTTTTTTTATTAAGCACTTTGGCAAAATCTAATTTTCATCTCTGGTCACCTCAAATTTGTAGCTGTACAACTGGATTGTAGATGCTAGCACGGTTTTGGTGTGTAATGCCATCAGTGTCTTTTACATGGGTAATAACTGGACATTTTAATGCTTGCCTTTCCTTGACTTTCTTGGTTTAGACTATAAAAATGTGAAGTTTATGATTAAAACATGCAATAATGGATTTTGAGATAACACATTAATTACTAGAGTCCTAGATATGTAAACCAGTACAATGGAAAGAAAAGATTTTTTTTTTCTTTTTTTTTATTTTATTGAGAATGGGAAAAAAAAAGTTTCCGCCTCCTCCCAGCCTCCCATTTCCCTCCCCCTTACCCCCAAAGAAAAGATTTTAATCTTTCATTAGTATTAAAGAATTTCCCAGGCCAGGCAGTGGTGGCGCATGCCTTTAATCTCAGCACTCAGGAGGCACAGGCAGGCCGATCTCTGTGAGTTCGAGGCCAGCCTGGTCTACAAGAGCTAGTTCCAGGACAGGAACCAAAAAGCTACGGAGAAACCCGGTCTCGAAAATAAAAAAAAAAAAAAAAAAAAAGTGAATTTTCTCCAAATCTCTTTAATTTTGTTGGTGGGGTTTAGAAGTCATTGCAGAATTTTATCTTGTAAATTAGATTATACCCAGTGAATGTATCCTTTAAAAAGATGAGTTAGACTGGGAGGTTGCTCTGTGGTTAGGAGCACTTGGTGCTCTTGCAGAGGACCCAAGCTCACTTCCCATCACCCGTGCCAGGCCGCCACAACCACCTGTAACTGCAGCTTCAGGGACTGACATCTCTGCTGGCCTGTGTGGGATCTGCACAGGCCCATGCGCGTGTGCACGCACACAAGCACACACACACATGTACACAAGTAAACATAAACAAGAAACGTGTGTCAGAAGAGTTGTCGGGAAGATGAAGCCTTGACTTTGTAATGTGTGCTCTGTGTTTCTGCTTTCTTTCAACAACGGTTCGTACCTAGAAACACCTGGGGAAGAAAGGCAGTCTGGCCATCATGTTCTGCCTACCAATCTGGAATCCGACAGTTTGAAGAAGAGCAATTGGGGGTTCTTGTTTACTGGGATCATTGGTGGGGCACTGGTGACGGTGTACGCTGTGGCCACTCCGTTTATCACACCGGCCCTGCGGAAAGTTTGCTTGCCATTTGTGCCTGCCACTTCGAAGCAGATTGAAAATGTCGTGAAGATGTTGCAGCACAGAAGAGGCTCCCTGGTGGACATCGGCAGTGGCGACGGACGCATTGTGAGTCACATAAAAACTACAGGGTTCGAGCCACAACTGTCAGGATTTCTGCTTTACGTTTCTTAGGAGGCTTCTGCAAAGATTTGCCAAATACAACGGTTTGAAAAGTGTGTGTTTCATTTTGTGTTTGGGTAAACTGTTGGACCACCAGCATGTGTTTAGAGTTCATTTTTCTCTGATTTTTTTTTCCTCCTGGAGGAAAGTACTCTGTAAACATGCCAGATAGAAAGAATCGGTTAATTGTTAATTACCAATGTCTATTAGAATTTTTGGTCCAGTAAATGTGGCATGATTACAAGAAACATGTGGAGTTGGGGAGTTAAATTACCTTTACTCTTTTGCAGTTTAGATGCTTGCTTTATGTTTCTCTGTAGCGATACCTGAGTAAGTAATGATTCCCAGGGGCTAATAGAAAGTTAAAAATAAGAAAGGCCATTGGTGAAGCCCAGCTTGACTAAAGATAGGAATTCAGGGTGGGCATAGTTACATGTAGCTAAAATGCCAGTATTTGGGAGGTGGAGGCAGGAGAATGGTGGCTTCAAGGCTAGCCTCTGCTAGGTACAGAATTTGGGCTACATGAGGCCTTGCCAAAAAAAAAAAAAAATCAGATTTTTAGTGACTGTAATGTGTTATGTGATCCTGGTCTGAATCTCTGAGTAAGGAAAAAGTCACTGGCTGGCAGATGAGTGATCCTTAGCGAGGAAGGTGGCCACACCTTAGGCCTCGTCCTTATGGTGACAGGAGTAGAGTGAGCATGGGGATGTGTCCTGGTATCATTGGTGTGCAGACCAATAGGGCTGTGATTGAGACCTGCCTGTAGTCACGCTAGAGACCCTGAAAAGTGACTCAGGCTCTCTAGACATTTCTTACAGTGTGGCAAAATATTAAACTGTAACCATAACCATTTTTATTCTGTGATGTGAAGTCATTCCTGTTGTTGGGTTGTCACCACTGTCCACTGCTGAGTGCTGCCATCTGCTGGGGGTGGGCCTGGGTGCTCCTCTCCCCCTTCCAAGCTAGGTTGACTGGCTTGATCTCGTACAGGTCCTGTGCTGGCGACCACAGTTGCCGTGAGTTCCTGGGTGCTGCAGCTTTTGCACAGGTCATTTTCATTGCGCATAATCCGTGATTCGCTTTCATTTTCCCGTCCGCTCTGCCAGCCACTGCTGGAGAGAGGTGCACATTTTCAGCCATGGTTTCCTGCCACTAGGGTTAGCTGAGCCAGAACCAGGGATGCATTTGTCCAACACAAGCCTGAGTGTCTCCTGATACTCAAGGCAAGATCTTTGACAAAACACAGAAAACTTTGGGTTAGTCGGGTCTTGTCCATGAACTATATAGAACTTTAAATACGACATTTTTTTTTAAAATTTATTTATTTATTTATTTATTTATTTATTTATTTATTTATTTATTTATTTATTATATGTACAATATTCTGTCTGTGTATGCCTGATGGCCAGAAGAGGGCACCAGACCCCATTACAGATGGTTGTGAGCCACCATGTGGTTGCTGGGAATTGAACTCAGGACCTTTGGAAGAGCAGGCAATGCTCTTAACCTCTGAGCCATCTCTCCAGCCCAGATACAACATTTTTTACATGGGATCTTCATTGAAAGGAGTAGTAGTCTTTTTAAATATTATATTAATTATATGAAATAATGGGTTTCATTGTGAAATTTTGTCTGTGTACATAATGCACTCTGGTCCTACTCATTCCCCTTTTATCTCTTAGCTCCTGTCTTAGTTACTTTTCTATTGCTGTGGTAAGACATCATAACCAAGGCAATTTATAGAAGAAAGAGTGTTGGGCTTACCGGGTTAGAGCCCATCCCCATCACAGTGGGGATCACGGCTGCAGGCAGGGTGCTGGAATAGTGGCCAAGAGTTCCTGTCTGACCTGTAGGCAGAAGACAGAAAGCCAGCTAGGAATGGCATGGGCTTTTGAGACCTCAGAGCCCACTCCCAGTGACATATCTCCTTGAACAAAGCCTCTCTTTTTTGTTCTTTTGAGACAGGGTTTCTTTGTGTAGCTCTGGCTGTCTTGGAACCCTCTCTGTAGATCTGTAGATCTCAAACTCAGAGACCTGCCTTCCGAGCGCTGGCACGTGTCACCACCATTGGCAAGGCTACTCGCACTAATCCTTTCCAAACAGTCTCACCAGCTGGGGACCAAGTATTCAACTATATGAGCTTATGGGACCGTCTCATTAAAACTACCGTATTTCCCCTCTTCCCTATCCCTTCCTCTTTCCCAATAGCTCTGAAAAAGTATCTTTTTTTTTTTTTTTTTTTTTTTTTTTTTCGAGACAGGGTTTCTCCATAGCTTTTGGTTCTTGTCCTGGAACTAGCTCTTGTGGACAAGGCTGGCCTCGAACTCACAGAGATCCGCCTGCCTCTGCCTCCCAAGTGCTGGGATTAAGGGCGTGCACCACCACCGCCAGGTGCCTAGTTCCAGGACAGGCTCTAAAAAAACTACAGTGAAACCCCCCCCTGCAAAAAAAAAGAAAAGAAAAAGAAAAAGAAGTACATTTTAGTGGATTATTTTAGGGCTATAAACCCTAAGTAGGGAACTCGTATGCAAGATGACAATTTTCTTTTGCTGGCCCCCACCCTGTCCAGGTGATTGCAGCTGCAAAGGAAGGATTCCCAGCTGTCGGCTATGAGCTGAACCCTTGGCTGGTGTGGTATTCCAGGTACCGTGCCTGGAGAGAAGGGGTGCACGGCTCTGCCAAGTTTTACATCTCAGATCTGTGGAAGGTATGTAATGCCAAGGGCAGTGCTGGAGAAGCCAGTGGACCTTCTTTATTCATGTTAGTGTATGGCTCTGCCACGTTTTACATCTCAGATCTGTGGAAGGTGTCTTTCTGGGTCAGGTTACCTCACTCGGGAGGATTTTTCAAGTTCCAGCCATTTGCCTGCAAATTTCATGATGTCATTGTTTTGTTTTTGTTTTTTTTCTACTGAGTAATAATACTTCATTGTGTAAATGCACCACATTTTCCTTATCCATTCTTCAGTTGAGAGACATCTAGGTTGTTTCCAGGTTCAGGCTAGTATAAATAAAGCTGCTATGAACATAGTTGAGCAAGTGTCCTTGTGATAGGATGGGACATCCTTTGGGTATATGCCCAGGAGTGGTATAGCTGAGTCTTGAGGTAGATTGATTCCCAATTTTCTGAGAAACTGTCATATTGATTTCCAAAGTGGCTGAACAAGTTTGCACTTGAACCAGCAGCGGAGGAGGCTCCCCTTGCTCTGCGTCCTCTCCTGCATGAGATGTCACTTGTGCTTTTGATCTTAGCCCTTCTGACAGGTGAGAGGTGGAATTTCAAAGTTGTTTTGATTTACATTTCCCTGATGGCTAAGGATGTTGAACATTTCTTTAATTGTTTCTCGGCCATTTGAGTTTCCTCTGTTGAGAATTCTGTTTAAATCTGTACCCCATTTTTTAATTGGATTATTTTTTTTTCTTGATGGCTTCCTTCTTTATTCTTCCTTCTTTCATGTTCTTTCTTTGTTCTTCCTACAGTATACTTTTTTTCTATAGAATGTATACTCCAGCAAAGTCTTTCAGGCAATATAAGAATTACAATGTGGTTACATTATGTTTTTCAAGTGAATGAATATAATGAATACAAAACAAAGAGTAATTGGATTATGTAGTTTGTTGGTGTCTAGTTTCTTCTTTATATATTTTGGATATTAGCCGTCTGTCAGATGTGGAGTTGCTGATGATCTTTTCCCATTCTGTGACTGCCTTTTTTTCTTATTGATGCTGTCCTTTGCCTTACAGAAACTTTAGTTTCATGAGGTCCCATTTATTAATTGTTGATTTTAGTGCCTGTGTTATTGGTGTTTTAAAAAAGCCAAAATAAAAACCCCAAAAAAGCTTGTGACTCGTGTTACAAAGCTCTTTTCCTTACATGACAATTCCCGCTGTGGCACTGTTCTCAGCAGCTGATGAAAACACACTTGGATTCTGCCTGCATTGTTTTCAGGCTGTGTATAACTAAACGGTCTCACAGAGTAAATACGACTTTTATTGGGCAATAAGAATTCTGACTGGCAAGGCACTTTTACTCTGTTTTTCAACTGCTGCAAACACTATTTTATTGATCTTTAGTGCACTGTTTAGGGAAGAGGAAGATCAGGGGTCTAACTGACTGGCAGCAGGCACAGTCCTGCTTGATGGAGTCCCTGTGAGGACAGGAGCTGAGGCCCAGGATGCTTTAGGAGGCTATTTGGGGGAGTGTGGAAACCTGCCTCCTGGCCCTGTGGGCTCCAGGGAGACAGGTTGGTTGTAATGCATGACGTCTTAGGATTAATACACCTTGTTCTCCACCTTGTTTAGGTTACCTTTGCACAGTACTCCAATGTCGTCGTTTTTGGTGTGCCCCAGATGGTGAGTATGCACCCTGTTCTCTGTCGGTCTCACAAGGCAGTGATGGCTTCCCAAAGCTTAGAGAGAACCATGGTTTAATGAACTACTGAGGACCTAACAGGTGTAGTCATTAAAGATTCAGCCGCATTTTAAAATTTTAGTTTCAGAGAAAAAATTCTCAATGATCCAAGAAAGCCTTACCAATCCCAGGTTGAAAACTGCTTTACGAGGCCCCAGCATTGAGTGAAGTTGGTGATTGTCATGGCTGCTCGCTTACACCCGCTGCAATCACTTGGGGAAGTTAATGGAATGTTCCCTTTGAATTGATCATTCTTGAGTTTTGCGGGAAGATAATTTTAAGGGTGGATGAGCATTGACTGGTTTCAATTTCCTCCCATTCACAGATTTGCTAAAGAGCTGAGTATTGAACTTTGATTATGTACTTTCAAAGTGAAAACGCCACATTATTGTACTGAAAATGGGCCTCTCTCGCCCTTGCAGAGAGGCTCAGGGTAGGATGCTTCACTGCCATTGCTGGTTTGGAGTCAGACAAATCAATCCCCTTTACTTCTCAAAGTCTCTAATTGTAGTCATAATAGTCTTGGCAGGATCGGATGTTTGTTGAAATAGCACTGTATAACTGACAGGGTTTTTAATTTAAAATAAAAAGGAAATTTCATTTTTGCTCTTTTGTTTTCTTATTTATGCCTTGGATTTTTGTTGCTGTTCTTTGAGCTGGAGTATCACTGTGTGTGTAGCCCTGGCTGGCCTGGGAATTGCTGTGTACTCAGGCTGGCTGTCAACCTGCAGCCTCCGATTCCCAAGAGTCTGGGTTAAGGACACGTGCCGCCATGCCCAGCTCTGCCTGGGACTTTTATACACAGGTTTAACTGCATGAGAAACTGACCCCCACACTGGAGCTTTCAGTGTAATGGCACATTCTTTTTACAAACCAGAAGTGTCGTTTTTACAAAAGTGACTGTGTTCCGTATGTCTGCGATGGGACCCGTATTGACTGTGTATTTGTTCTGAAAGTGAAGGCAGGTGTGAGGTCTTGGTGTCTGATCACTTAAAGCTTGCTCAGGTCAGGCCTGGGCTCACACCTGTACTCCCAGCTCTCAGGAGGCCAAGGGAGGAGGGTTATTGTCAGTTTGAGACCAGCCTGGGTTACAGAATAAGGCCCTGTTTCAATTCTTCCCACCCCACAAATAAAAATAATTTGGGATCATAGACTAGATAGGGAATTTTGATGGTGGCTTACTACTTATGATTTGTGGGCTTTTCCTTCTAAGATGTAATAATTAGCATATTGGGGACAAGTAACTTTAATGTAAAAGTAGAAAAGTGTATTCATTGGGAATCGTATGCTGTCTGGAGAGAGGAAGTTAAGCTGAGAGGCGGGATCTGAGCTTCTGCTTCCGAGTCCCAGCTGGGGGCAGCAGTGGTCTTTGTAATGCGGAGTGGAGGCTGCTCTGCCGCCAGGCAGGCTTGGTTTGCAGTGTTTTGGGGCTGTTTCCTCAGGGACAGTATGGGTCTTGTTATTTTGAAAAATATATTTGCAATTATTGCTTATTCTCCTGAACACAGACAAATCTTAACCGAGGAATCCCAGCATTTCACTGTTTGCAGGGAAAAGAGGAGCAGTGGGAATCCACAGAGCATTCTTGTTCCTTAGAAAAGATCCTGCCAGCCCATGTTCTGCGTGCACTGGGTTGGCGGGAGCTCATTTGGCATTTGTTAAGCTGGAGTGTCACGTGTGGGATCCCCACTTTCAGCCGGCGTCAAATTCTTATCAACTGGAAGTAGCTGACTGGGAAGATGGAGACCACCAGTTTTGTCCTCTGATAGCTGTGTGGCCCTGGGAAAGCCCTGAACCTGACTGTCTAAGGATGCTATGAATTGCACACCAATCAGTACTCCTGACATGGGCTGATGGCCTTCCAGAACCAACATATCACGAGAAGCATCTCAGGGTAGCTAATGCACAAGGGGCTCCTGGAGAGCCAGGAGGAGCCTTAGGGCAGTGTGGAGGAGGACAGCCTGCATTGGAACTCCTCAGCCCTGCTTTTGATACCTGCTGGATTATTTCTGATAGCACAGTGCAGTTGTAAGTGGAAATTAGAGCTAACACTTCAATATAAAGTATGTGTCAAGTACAGCGAGGAGTCCCATGTGGACCTGGTGAACACTATGGAAGTGCCAAATGCCCTATTTAGTGTGAATTTATGCACCAAGAGGCGCTTTTCAAAATGTGAAAAAGAGCAGGTTAATTTGGTCTTTGTTTAAAACCCTCTGTGAGGCTGCAGATGTAGCTCAGGTGGGAAGAGTGTTTGTCTACTGTGAATGAAGCCCTGGGTTCGATCCCCAGCACTCCTGAACTGGATGTGCTGGTGCATGCTGTAGTCCTTGCACTTGGGAGGCAGAGGCACAGCATCAGGAATTCAAGGTCATCTGTGTTTATGCAGCCTGTTCGAGGTCAGCCTGGATTACGTGAGACCTTGTCTCAAACAAGCACCCCAAAACCCAGAACATCAAACACAAACCCTCTGTTACTTCTTGATAACTTAGGGAAAAGGTCCAAGTATGCCATTGGACCCAGACCGGCCTGGAGTGGCCTTTACCCACTTGTGACCTTGTCTTAGTCCTTTTTTTTTTTTTTTTAGTTCTCTGTACAATTCTTCATCTTGGCTCTGCTGCTCCTCAGAGCCTATGGCATCCATTCTTGTTGACATCAGGCCCACTCTGCACTGGACTTAGTGAACACCTACCCTTTCCTCTGTGAAGCTGTCCTCAGTGGTCCCATGAAGTGGGTCTTAGTGCTCCCTACCTTCTGCTCTGTGGCATTCAGTAAATACCGTATGCTGTGCACTTCTGTGCCTGCAGGCTTTGCTCATGCAGTAGGTATGGCTTCTGCACAGGAGATAGGTCTCTTTATCTCTTAACTACATAAGTGAGCAACAAAATGTGAATATTGTGTGGTACCTCGTCTCCATTCTAGAGGTGGTGGGACCTGGGAGAAGGCAGACTAAAGTCGCATGCAATAGCTAACTCTATTCAGAGCCTCAGACAATTCATGCTTTGAGGGTTAAGAAAGCTCACAGGAGTAAAGTTGTCATGCGCACAAGCTGTCTACAAGCCACACGTGGCAAAACCACGTTTTCCATAGAGTCATAGAGGGGATAGTTTAAAGGTGTAATTCAATAACCGCAAGCAATAATGAGTAATCTGAAGTAGACTCCCTCCTCCCCACTACACCTGGGAGCAGCACAAACACAGTCTGAGAACAGTTCCCTGTTTCAAAGGAACTGAGGTCACATGACCCTTGTCTTGTTTTCTTGGAGTGTTCTCACTAAAGCACTCCAAGTTCTTCTCACATGACTCTATTCTTGGACTGTGTTCTGACAGTGGAAAGATTATATGTTAAATGAGACATCTACAGAGAAGATGTCGTAGCCTAGAGGAGAATACTCTCTGCGTCTGCAGGGTTATCCAGGACAGGGAAGGAGCGGGGCTGGGTCAGTATTCCTGGAAGGATACCCTCCATGGGCAGTGCTCTCCTGTTGGCTGGAGAGCACTAAGCAAGTGCAGGTGATGAGGGTGATGTCAGTTTGAGAGGAGCCAGGGACTAGGGCCAGCACATGAAGGATGCTGGTCCTTCCAAGGGAGGGAGCTCTTGAGGGTAAGCAGAGAGCATAGAGACGACCACTGCATGGAGGTCAGACCCAGACATTAGAGATTGGGAGACGTGCTCTATTGGTGTCCAGGTGACAGACTGAGGCGCAGTCTAGTGTGGGTTAGCTGGTGAGAAGGCATCTAATTCTAGCTGCACTACAGAGAGAAACTCAGCAGAAGTAGTGGGCATCTCCAGCAGTGGCGAGAGACAGAGGAGTCCAGGCCAGCCGCTTCTTGTCTTCTGCTCCTGGATGTTTGGGTTGCCAGGAGCTGAGCTGGGAGAGTAACAGGCAGGGCCATCTGTGGCAGCTCTGTGGGTGCTCCTGAAGTCACACTGACAGCCTTGGGTAAGGAGGAGTCTGGAGCTCAGGTGCACTTCCTGACTGCACAACCATGGGCAGGTCCAGGAAGCAGGCAGGTCTCAGGGATCTGCCCAAGGCCTGAGCTTTATCTGGGAAGTGAGACATAATCAGCCAAGGCTTCAGGAGATCCTCTGTAAGAATGTCACCACCCTGGGAACCAAGTGGAGGAGGAAGGAGGCTTCTGGGTGGTGGGTCAGCGCTGTCAGCCACAGGTCTGTCTTCTGCCGTTAGCTGATTCAAAGCGTGCCTCAAATTCTGAAGATGTGATTAGAATATGATGAGTTTGTGTCACTTTGAAACCCATAATGATATGAATAATTCTGAATTCTATTAGACAGGCATGACATATCACTACTCTTCGTGTGTGATATCAGAACAGATTTGATGCATATTTATGTGTAATTTAGTCAGTTAATTTCTTAGGATTGAAATAGCTTCTTTCATTTTTAGGTTTATCTTGACTTAGCATATGACAGTCACTCTGAAATAAAAGAAACTATAAGAGAGAAAAGAATAGGAATGTGAATATTTTTACAATTATCTTTTTATGAACAAAATTACCATAAGAAACCTGATATTTTGAAAAATGCATGTTGTCTTACTTTTTGCTTATTTAATTCTTCCCTCAAGGAATAATTTCTTTCCCCCTTTTTTTTTTGTAATTCTTGACTAGCCATTAGAAGAATAGACATCTTTTCTCCTTAATAGAATTATTCTCCATTATCATTCCTATTGATGCATTAAAATTTTGACTTATCCCATCCATATCATGGTTTTTTTTCTAAGTCATTTTTGTAAGATGCTGGTCAAGAATAAAACCTTCACAAGAGCCCTGCTGGTTTTTCTATCTTGCTGTAGTTACTTTTAGAGAGAGTAGTTTTTGCTTAGATCTTCATTTCTAAGTATCATTTTTCACTACAGGGAACTAGGAATCCTTGAGAATAGCTGACCTAGGGTTACAAGAGGGAAGGTACAAAAGATTGGAACATTTTATTGAGCCAAAACATGAGGAAGTACTCAAAATATTTAACGGGAGTATGTCCAAAGGATGGAGCAGCCAGATGCAAGAGGTGCTCCATGGCCAAATTCGTACAGTTTGAACATTAGCAAAAGCAAGGCCAACATTGAATTGTGATCCACTGAATGAAATTAGAATATGATATGTATATTTGCAGTAGATAGATGTTGCAGGCAGAGAGGCAGAGGAACAAGGAAGAGAAAGCTCTCCCTTGCAACATAATGCTAACTGATGCTAACTGTTCATCTAGAGCAGTGGTTCTCAACCTTCTTAATGCTGTGATCCCACCCCAACTATAAAATAATTTTTCTTGCTACTTCATTGTTAGGCACACGCACAGAGGTCCTTGTACTCACAGAGAAGCTCTAAGAGAACTAGGAATTTAATCATGCACTGGAGGAGATAAAAATCAAATGCCTGAATCCCATCCAGAAAGTTGAGAGTGGATTTTGTTAAGGATCTGGTGAGGCAGACCTCATCCCCCTTCTTCTATAGAGGGAGACCTCACCCCAATCCCCCAGGCTCTTCCCTCCCTAGACCATTATTCATCTTTAGGGGCGATGCCACAAGTGCTCTATGGCCTGCTGACCTCTGTGCTATATTGGTCAGAGACCACACTAGATTCTAGGCCCTTAGCTTTAGAACCCATTCTTGTGGTCACATGTAACTTTGTGGGAGTGTCTGTGTAGTCACGCCTTAAGTTATTGTGCACCTGATTGAACTGGTCGGACCGATTGTTGCCTGGAAACCTTTTCTCAAGTTGTTCTGTGTTTTAAATATGCTGACAGTGAGCCACTGTTCTCCGATGTCTGATCCAGGCTGATGAGGTCACTATGCTGGGTTTTCATTCTTACCTCTTTGCAGATCACTGTCTGCATTGACACCTGCTGGGACCTCCACACGTCATAGCTGTAATTTTGCTATTCTTATGAATCATAGTGTAAATATCAGTGTTTTCTGGTGGTCTTAGGGGATCCCTATGAAAGTGTTGCCACGTTGCAACGTTTATAGTAAAAATTGACTGCAGTCACAATCCTCAGTGTCTGCTATTCTAGGCAGAGATGGTCTGAGGAAAGGTGCTTACAGTTTCTTCCAATGTCACTAAGGGAAAGGGAAGATACTAATATATTACAGAGATTCCAGATTCACCTGAGCAAGTGGTTGATGTCACCACTGGGAGCAGGAGGGCCTTCTGGGCTTCTGGAGTTCTGATAAGTTCAGAGGCATTGCCAAAGACCTACTGAGCCATCAGGAACAAATGGCCGAGGAGACTGAAGTGAGGGTCATTGGTCCATTGTCATGAAAGACAAGAAAGATAGGAAGTGTCCCAGGTCAGAAAAGACCGAGTGGGGTAGAGCTGTAAGTGAAGCCCTGGGTCAGCATGCACAAGGCTGATCATCCCCTACTACCACAAAACAAAACATAAAAACAGACAAAAACCTAAAACTAGGAGACCAAAGAAACCCTACTGCTGTGGGACAATGGTCTTTTATCCTGTCACTGGTACTATTTTTAATAAAATGCTGGTTGGCCAGTAGCCAGGCAGAAAGTATGGAGAGGTGACCAGGCAGGAAGTAGAGGCAGGCAATGAGAATAGGAGAATTCTGGGAAGAGGAAAGATTCAGTCTGCAGTTGTCAACCAGACACAGAGGAAGAAGATGAGAATGCCTCTCTGAAAAAAGTGCCAAGCCTTCCTTGTGGCTAACACAGACAGGAATTATGGGCTAAGATGTAAGAATTAATTAAGAAGAAGCCTGAGCTAATAGGCCAACCAGTTTATGATTAATGTAGACCTCTGTGTGTTTCTTTGGGACTGAACAGTTGCGGGACGGAGTGGGACAGAAACCTGGGTTAACACCGTATGGCTAAACACAGAACCCCTTCCTGAGCAGCACAGGGCACCACTGGGAGGAAAAGACTGAATTGTTCTGGGGTTACTGTGGGCAGAATAAGTTCCCGGGTGTGAGCCTCACGAGGAGTGTGTAAGAAACAGAGTGTCGTATGCCGCCTCCTCTCAGAGGTTTAGAGACAGTTCATGGTGGAAGAGGACGGTAGTGAGCAGGAGGGGGCAGCGCTGGAACTCCACCGGGGTGGACTGCATACGGGTCCTTTGTTCAGTTCTTGGGAAGAAGACGGTAGTGAGCAGGAGGGGGCAGCGCTGGAACTCCACCGGGGTGGACTGCATATGGGTCCTTTGTTCAGTTCTTGCAGCTTGTCTGCAAATGGACACCGTCTCAAAATCAGTTAAAAGTAGGGTGAGACATATTTTTAGAATATGAGGGTGCTCATACATTTTTACAAACTGCAGATAATTTAAAATGTTTGTTGATTCTAGTTAAAATGCTAATACTTGCAGTAAATATTATCACTTTTTTGGTAGATAGGGTAATAAAATTATATAAGATTGATATAATCTCTATTGTTTAGAAATTCACGGGTTTGCTGCAGATGTAGCTTAGTGGGAGAGGGGTGTCTAGTGTGTGAGATCCTGGCTGCACTTCATAGAACTGAGTACCTCTAAGGGAGGACACATGTTACAGCCTATTTCATGCTTATTCTTTTGGTTTTTCGAGACAGGGTTTCTCTGTAGCCCTGGCTCTCCTGGGACTCATGTAGACCAAGCTGGCCTAGAACTCACCGAGATCTGCCCGCCTGCCGAGTGCTGGGATCAAAGGCGTGCCACCATCACCTGGCTTAAAATTATTTCTAAATGGTAGAATGTGTGTCTTTTCATGGTCTGATTAGACAGTATTTTACCAACCTTAAGTGTTGATTCCACACTGTATTGATATTATCGAGAAAAAAAATAACAGTGATTGTAATTCAGTTGTTTGATGTGTTCCAATTCAGAGATGTTAAAAGTATAGAAAAATATGTCTTAAATACATTATTTTATAATTGGTTCTGGAAGATGTCCTTGTAACTGCTGTTACGGTGTCATTTTGTGTTGTTGGGACCGTTTGGAGTCCTGGCCTCCAGCTGCTCTTCCCTGCTAGAGATCTTTACTTTCCTTCTGATTTGAGTTACTGAAAGCTGTGTCAAAGTTGTTTACCAGCTCTGCTTCACGAGCGAGCACGTGCTGCCTTGCCTTGAGGATCAGAGGATAAGATTTTCACCTGTTGGCCCACCTGACTGTGGGGTATATAAACCTCCAGGGTGCTATTGAAGAGGGGGCTTCTTACCAGTGACTAGAGGTCCGTGTCTTTGTGTGTGTGTTTGTGTGTTTCAACTCCAGCCCCTTTCCCGAAGCTCGTGACCTTATGCATTGTTAGTAAGTGTCTGCCCGAGCGATGTGGTTGTATTGCCGGGGACTTTGACGTCATCTTCTCTGCTGTTGTTCTTCACAGATGCTGCAGCTGGAGAGGAAGCTGGAGCTTGAACTTGAGGATGGTGCTAGAGTTATCGCCTGCCGGTTCCCTTTCCCACACTGGACTCCAGACCACACTGCTGGAGAGGGGATCGACACCGTGTGGGTGTACGACGTGGACAGTTTCAGAGGACGGGAAAAGAGGTCTTGAACACTTGAGCACTGTGGGGGCCATCCAGTCCACCTTCACTGAGGCCACAGCAAACTGCCCTTGACACGGGATGAGAAGTCATGCTGCTGTCCTGACCTTTTGGAGAAAATGAACAGGAGCTCAGGAAAACATTTAGGTGTAAAGACAATTTCACGTAGCCTGGGTTGGCCTTGAATTTTCTGTGTACCTTCCTCCTCTACCTTCCCAGTAAAATTTGCTCTTAGGAGAATATTTTGAATGGGTCTACTACCTTTTCATACCGTAGGATGCTGGAAGATGCAATAACTGAGCTGTGTGTGTGGGCCAGAAGGTTGTCATCTCGCAGCAGCGTGGTTTGATGCCACAGAGGAGAAAGGGGGTAATCGTGCAGACATCTGCAGTTTCCTGTGGTTTTGTTCATGGGTGAGATTTGTCTCCCTTCTGTAGTTTGTAGCTACATTAATTTTCTAAAAGGCTCAGAGTGGCACTTTCATTTTATAATATTTATAAGTACTATTTTACCCTAATGCTTTCTGTACTTTGTTGATTGAATCTGTAAATGTCCACCTGTGTGTAAACAGACTGTGTAACATGTACATGTTTTAAACTGGGGGAATTGTGACAGATTGCATGTGGCTTTAATTGGTGGTGTGGTCCCTTTGCTGTCATTGTGTTACTATGAGTGGCATCTTAGATTTGACGAGGCATTTAGAGAAGCTCCCTGGCCCAGGGAGAAGTTAGTAAGGGCATTTCAGTGTGACTTCCAATGCCTCGGGCAGAGACTTCCTGTCTCTCAGCCTTGGTGTCTGCTACCAGGACAGTCCTGGTAGGATCCATTTTTAAAATCCGCTGCACAGTCTTTGGTCTGTAAGTGATACTCACATTTTAGAGCTGAGGGAAAAGCTTATACAGTGAGGTGCAGATTATTTCTGTTAGCCCCTTCTCTTATTTTATGAGAACATCCATTTATTTAGCATTTCCCACTTATGAGAAAAGACTTGACTGATTTAGATAGCAGTCAAGTTAGTGAAAACCTTTGATTGTGAGTAGACAGGCTTCATAGAAGTCCACGCCCAGTCAACGTGTTCTCCACGGAGTCACCTGATGTAGGCTTGCCCTGGATCCTGAAGTTCCTTCTGTAGACGGAAAGCAGAAGCTGGACAGCCACTTGGTGGAGATGTTGCAGAAACAATGTTTGCAGCATGCTTGAGTCACAGATGAACCAAAGCGACGATTTATTTTCCACTTTCTGTAGGGCCTGTTGAATCATTTGAACAGACCTCTAACGTCAGTATAATAAGGTGGAGCATAATTCTGTAATTCTGACAGAACTTCCCATCCCTACAAATGTAAGTTGCTCATTACTGTTTTTCATTATAGCTCTGCAGAAAAGATGGTCAGAATATTGGGATGCTGATGAATCAAGTTAAATTATACCAGAACGGCCATGACGTATGAGGCCTCAGGAAAGCTGGGCTCAAAAATTTCAGGACTGGGGGTTAGCTAGAATGGGTGTAGCTCATTTAAAAAACATCTTTTTACACTACATTTGTGTGTGTGCATGGTGTGTGTGTGGGTGGACACGTGGAGATCAGTTCTGTGTGAATACTTGGGTCCCAGGGAATCCAGCTCAGCTCATCGGGCTTGGTGGCTGGGCCTTTACTCACTGAGTCCTTTGCTGGCTCATGGGCATAGTTTGTAAAACCTCTTGTCAGCATAGATCACTAATGGTTCCTCATCCTCCCTTAAGGGACACTGCTTACTCTCTGTCTTGTCAAAAGAGCAACCATATGGGACCCAAACATCCTTCCAAACCTCCCACAATCAGTTGGAACATGGTTGAGTATCTGAGTTGAGTCTGGACACTCTTGGCGGGTGGACTGTTTGCTGGCAGGAGGAAGTGAGGAATTACTTGGACTCTGTTAGACTAGGGTACATAAAGACAGTACAGACATCATAGTCGAGGGCTAGAGGCGGAGGCAGAGGAGCTTCAGTGCTTATTGGAAGGACAAGTAAACAGGCTCCTGAGCAGGTCCACATGTCATAGTCCCAACTGGGAGAAGTCAGGCCAAGGATCAGAGACCCTTGGGAACAGAGCCCAATCTGCCTTTATTTGCTCTGAGGAGGGAGTAAACTGCTCTTGGAAGGATTCTATTTATAAAATAGGTATTAAGCACAGGGAACTTACTATCATTAAAGACAGCATGGACCATATACTTAAACAGAAGGCAGATATTTGTCTAAACAAAAGGGAGCTGCATCTGAATAACACAGTAATGTCTCTCAGCCTGGAAACCTCCAGTGGCTTGAGAGTCCTCTTAGGCAGAACACCTTCCTCTAGATTGAGGTGCTCTGTAATAATGACACATTACGATTCTCCTGGAAGCAGCACACTTGTGACTCAATGAACTGATGCAAATTGAACATGAACAAAAGGACCATATAACTTTTATAGGTGGGGAAATTAGATGTCTTATTTTTCTAATTTAATATTATGGTGTGAACATTATCCAGGAAGGACTGATCAAACAATGGCTCATTGATCTCCGGGTTTAGTCCAAGGGTGGAAGGGAGACATTGAGTTATTTTTCGTCTCTGTCATATTGCAATAGAAAATAAGTGTCAAGTCCAAGTCCTTATGAAAACACAAGCTCCAGCAAAGTCTCAGAACTGCACACATCTCTAATTTGGTGGGTATGTTTAGGTAGTGGGGCCTTCCAGGGTTTGTTGTAAACTCAACTCTGTGTGTGTGTGTGTGTGTGTGTGTGTGTGTGTGTGTGTGCAGAATGACAGTGTGGCAGAACTAAATCCCTGAGTGTAAGTATCAGTTGTGCCTGCCACAACTGGTCCCTGGTGTATTACAGATCATTTTATCACAAGGCCTTTTGTTCACATGGCCACTGGTGTTTGACTTAAGCCGTGGGTTATTTACTGTTCTCTTCAAAGGTATTCACATTTTGTCAAAGACTCTCCTTAATGTAAGTTTGATTTTGGTAAGACTTAAGAAAGCTAATTTGTAATGGGGAAATGTCAGGTTCACTTCTGCAGTTCCTGCTCACCACGCTGTATACCTGTGGCAGCTCAGAAAGACAAAGCTGGTCCTCCATGAGTTTATTCTTCCTGACACGTTAGTGATGAGAAGTCCACAGCTGAGAAACTATGATGATGGCTGCCATTGTATGTTCACTGTCCACCACAGGCCTTATGCACAGGAGGATTTAATGGGTGTGTTGGTATACAGCCGTAATTCCACACTCGGGAGATGGAGGCAGAAGGTCATACGTACTCAGATACACAGTAAATTCAAGGGCAACCTAGATTATATGAAACCTTATTTCAAAAGAAGGGGGGAAAGAAAATTATCACGTGAGCTCTGCAATGTAGACATGACATTTCTCTGTTGGATAAATTAAGGCATGTAGTCATGACACATTTGGCAAGGTACATGCAGTGCTTAAATCTAATGCTGGCTGACAGTAAACACACACACGTGTTTTCCTTATTTGAACATCTTGGCCAGGGCCTGGGGAAGGCACTGCTGCTATGAGCCAATCCCTTTGACTGCATGAGCTCATTATTAGCAGCATCTGTGTAGCTCCAAGGCTTGGGTTCTGAGCCTCTTTGAATCCGGCTTCCTTTGGTAGGCAAAGGGTGATCCTTGATTGAAGGCACATGCTAGAGGATGAAGCTGCGGATTTGATGGACTTCTACTCGCTTTAAAGAAGGTTCGCAAAGCAGTATCTTCTAAGAACAGAACTGCTTTACCGTTTCCTCACAGACATTCTGGGGCAAACATATCACCCATATTAGAAAATCAACATGACATGCACATGTATGTCTCTGTTAGCTGGAGCTGCTGTGACGAACACAGACTGGGAGTTAAACCACAGAAATGGATTCCTCATCTCTGGAGACTGGAGTCTAACGTGCCACTACTGATGGGGTTGGTTTCTCTGGAGGCTTCTCTCCTAGGCTTGTGGATAGCTGCCTTCTTGCTGTGTCTTTACGTAGATTTTCCTGTGTCCATGTCCCTGGTGTCTGGCTATGTGTCTAGTCTGCTCTCCTAGTATGGAAACCAGGCAGATTAGATTAGGGCTCACTCTAATGACACATTTAACATTCCTTGTGTGTTGAGGCATACGTGCCTATGTGCTGGTGTGTGCACTTGTATGTGCACGCTTCTGTGGGAGTCAGAGGTTCTTGTTGTCTTCCTCTGTGGTCTTCACCTTATTTTTTGAGACGAAGTTTCTCACTGAATCTAAGTTATGGATTTGGCTAAATCTGGTAGCATGTCCCCACTGTCCTATCTCTGTTCTCCTCACCCTCCCAGTACTAGTGTTATAGACGTCCATTGTCATGTCTAGTCTACATGTAGGCTGGGGTCCGAACTCACGTCCTCATGCCTGCCCAGCAACACTCGTTGAGTCCTCTCCCCAGTCCTTACCTCTTTACCCTGTTTCCAAACAGTCACGCTGTGTGGCACCGGGTGATAGAAGATCAGCATGCGCATTTGGGACTATGATGGCTAAACCCCATTGTCAGCCTGATAGGACTTCGTGTCGCTAGAGAAAGACACTTTAGATATATCCGTGAGGATATTTCCAGAGAGTTTTAATTGAGGAAGGAAGACCCATCCTGAATGTAAGCAGAACTATTACATGATTTGAGGTCCTGGCCTGAGTAAAGAGTGGACAGCATTCACTTCTCTGTGCTTGCTAACTGCAGGTGTGATGTGACCAGCTGCTCCAAGCCCCTGCTGCCCCACAGTGATGTGCTGCACCCTCAAACTGTGACCCAGAATAAATCCTTGCCTTAAATTGCTTTTGTGATATATTTTGTTGCAGTAGAGAAAAAAGTAGTCAATACAGAAAATTGTTATCAGAAGTGGGATAATTGCTGTGCTAAAACCTTATATGATTTAGATCTTTTTGTTTGTTTGCTTTTTGCTTTTTTTTTTTCTTTGAGACAGGGCTTCTCTGTAGCTTTGGAGCCTGTCCTGGAACTTGCTCTGTGGACCAGGCTGACCTTGATTGAACTCACAGAGATTCACCTGCCTCTGCCTCCCAAGTGCTCAGATTAAAGGCTTGCACCACCACTACCCGCCAGGCTGTGATTTAGATCTTTGAAACTAGGCTATGGGTTGGATGTAGAAGAATTTGGAGCTTTGGCCTAATAAAGACTTAGAATGCTGCACATAGAGCTTAATGGGACATTTGGGGGAGAGTCTGGAAGACCAGAATGTGGAGAGACGCAGACTGT